AAGAAGAAGAAGAAGAAGAAGAAGAAGAAGAAGAAGAAGAAGAAGAAGAAGAAGAGGAGATGTAAGTTCTCAACCAAATCTATGGAAAAGGCATCTTCAAGGACAAGTTTCTGCAGCTCTTAGGATGGGCAGCATCTTGATTCTAACTTTGAATCAAGGAAGCCGGTTTGCCCCAGAACAGCAACAGTTCAAAACGAAACACTCATTTTGCTTGTTGTTTCAGTTAAACCAGAACAAAGTTGACTCATCTCCTTGAAACAGAGTCCATCCTGAGACCAATCAGGGTCAGAAGTCAGTCGTGAAGCAAAACAAAACAATGATGGAGAAAAACATTTCTCTCTTTCCCAGCAAAAAACTCTCTCTCTGTATTTGCAGTCTCAAATGTCATTTTCAGGCTCCAGAGGTAGTGATGGTAACAGAATATATATTTGTAAAAAGATATTTTTTTAAAAAAGAGAGAGAGAGAGAGAGAGAGAGTGAAAGAAAGAAACATTCAGAGGCTGAGACTACAAACTTGTTTTAGCTGTGATTTATCAGCCAGGGCAGTGGCTAAGACGCTGAGCTTGTCAATCAGAAAGGTCGGCAGTTCAGCGGTTCGAATCCCTAGTGCTGCCTAATGGAGTGAGCTCCCATTACTTGTCCCAGCTTCTGCCAACCTAGCAGTTCGACAGCATGTAAAAATGAAAGTAGAAAAATAGGCACCATTTTGGTGGGAAGGTAACAGTGTTCCAAGCGCTTTTGGCATTTAGTCATGCCGGCCACATGATTACAGAGACGTCTTCGGACAGCACTGGCTCTTTGGCTTGGAAACGGAGATCAGCATTGCCCCCTATTGTCAGGAATGACTAGTACATAAGTGTAAGGAGAACCTTTACCTTTATGAGCCATGGTTGATCCAGGTTCTCAATTCCTTTTCATTTTATATCTCTAGAAAAGGAGACAACGCTGCCTTTTAGTATAAATTATTATTACTTTAATTTGGAGTACTTCTCAGACAAATCTGAGTTTGTTTTGTTGTTATTTTAAAAAATCTAGCACTGTTGCTGTTGCATTTGGCTAGCAGATATAAGCAAAGATTCTTTTTCTTAAATCTTTTCTTGTGCTGCATGCAGTTCTACATCTCAATTTGAGTTCAGAAATCATTGCTTGACATAGGGAAATCTTTTAGTTTTCTTCCGTAAAAGGATATTAACACTTTGTGACTTTGTGGCTGCCCATTGATACAAGGTTTTGCCCTGTCCCATTATTTTTTTTTAAAAAAACCATAATGTCCTCAAGTTTGCTCTTTGCTCTATTTTTTTCAGTTCTCTGAAAGTAAAACGAATACCCTTTGACATGCACTTTAATAGGTTCCATGAGTTTGAGCATTAGTGTTATTGTGTAAAGAAAGCCATTGTAGACTTTTGAAATTGAGGAAGTGGTGCTTATGGTAAGTAGAGCATTAAAAGGAAAGTTCAGGTTATGCATAAATGCATCACTTGCTTTCTTACCACTCTCTTACTGTTTAAGACAATTTGTTTGATCTGCAGTGACATGCTTACATACGCGAGGCACTAAGCAATAGATGTTGTCATCAAGTGATAATAGTTATGTAAAGAAAGGAGCAAGGGAGCAGTTGCAAATTGCATGCCTGCTCCATTGCTTATGGAAGGTGGTTTAATTCATTTCGCGTTGCCTTATAGAGAGAGATACATTTTTCTAAAGTTTTTAATGCTTTAGCGCCAAATGTCTTTAGAAATGTCTTTCTGAAAANCAGCCACAAAACTAGCAGATGTTGTTAAATTAGACATTCTGTTTTCTTTTGAAACTTTTCTTTTCTTGGATTTATCCATGGTTGGCCTTCCGGGGTCAAAGAGCTCAATAAATCATGTTCTGGCAGGTGTCACACATTGGCAGTTGTGACGCATATTTTGAATGACAGGGAGCCACAGCAGAGGGATGAAAGAGCCACATGCAGCTCCAGTCTGCAGTTTGCTCACCCCCGGGTCTAGGGGAACCATTACCTATATTTCTCTCCAGCTTGACTCAAGTCTTATATTTCCAAAATCCCATCACAGCACCCCCTTCTTTCCCCCTATCCCCCCCTTCCCTTTTCTATTTCTGGACTGCCTTGTTTTGTGGAAACTGGAATGGCGCGATCGGACTTCGTGTCTTTCCAGCAACAACAAAGGCAGCAGGTGCCCAGGAAGCAGCAGGGAGGGCAACGCCTTTGATTTCAGCTTAGGGGGGGGGGTTGTCAATGACGGAAAAATCCCCAAATACCAAACCTTTCCCCCCACCCCCACCCTAGTTCCTGTTTTTGCTTTCTCCCAGGATACGCCCAAGGCAAGCATCCCCCTGTAGCCACTGAAGCCGCCTCTCCTGCTGTTTTGAAGCCCTTCCTGATTTCCCCTGAATTTCAAAGGATAAAATATTAGCAAGAAGGGAATGTTTGTTCTGCATTATCTCCACTTTGGGGAGTTAAGATGTGTGTGTGTGTGTGTATGTGTGTGTGTGTGTGTGTAAGCCTCAGGGATGGTGAACATTTTTGGCACCAAACTAGAATGTGTGTGCATGTGTACGCTGAAGCACCAAAAATCTGTAAACTAGGTGGCTAGTGTGCATGCACATGCTGGCCACCTCAGGTTTACAGCATGTACATGTGCGCCAGCCAGCTGGTCTTTGCGTGCGGTGGAGCACCAGGTGGCCGGCGCATACATGCACACTGCCCAGCTGTTCTTCGGGTTCCCAATGCTCCGGCACACACGAAGACTAGCGGGCCAGAAACCAGAAGAACAGCTGGTGACAGCGCACGTGCCCACAAAGAGGGCTTTGCATGCCACCTCGAGCCCACGTGCCAAAGGTTCGCCATGACAGCCTTAAATCAATAAAAACTCAGATCTGTCTAAGGCGGTGGCTCCAGGAATATATACCGTATTTTTCATACTATAAAACACCTCGGAGTATAAGATGCACCAAGATTTCAAAGAGGAAAACAAGAAAAAATATAGTATTTGCCCT